TTGGCATTGTTAAGCTTTAGAGAGTCAAATTTGATCTACTCTAATAAAAAAATAAATGTTTAAAGACTTTTAAAAGTGCAAAAACGTATATCCTGTAGTGTATTCATGTTTCAAGTATCTTATTTTCGAAAGATAAATCACCTTCTGGTTTCGCTTCTGAAAGTGGTTTGAATTTATTCTATGAGTTAAAGAAGACATTTGGTTTGAGAGGACCAAACAACTAATCATGCTTTCTAAGATTATGAAGCACACGATAATAATTTGGAAGATTATGGTTCGGTCCCCGATTGCCCCTTTTACACATACAGACACATGAACATCTTATAAGATTTATCTGGCAATGTAGCACATATATTTTAACCCAAGCACCTATCTTTCAACTGCTCCAACTTTTACAAAATGTAATGCTCGTCCAATTTTATAGGTTCAGCGCTGCTGAGGATGACGATGATTCTCATCCAAACTTGCTGCGAAGAACAACCATAGGAAGAGGTTGTTAGTTTGTGTCTTGCCTTGTCTTGTTTTGCTGTCTAAATGTTTGCTCAACTATCCATTTTGCATACAAATGGACAGGTCCTCCTGATTCTGTATTTGACTGGACCAAGGAATTAGATTCTGATTTGGCAAACCAGAATGGGAGTAACCAAGCATTCTCCAGAAAGTACTGGCGCTTACTTCAATGCCAAAATGGTCAGTTTAATGTTTTCATCCGTTTTATCTTCCAGTAAGCATGTGTTGTCTGGCAATGATTTGAATCTGTGTTCTTTTATATTCATTTTCGTGTTCTTCACTATAGTTAAGCTATAGAACATATCAAGTGGTATCTTCGTTGACCATTGACCATTTTTCTCCACTAACGTGTGGCTGCAGGGCTTCGCATTTTTGAGGAGCTTCTGGATGGCGATTTACTTGTATGAGTTCATCTTTGTGTTCTATGCTGGCTCAAACATTGCCTAATTTATAGAAGTACGGTGTTACAGGGTATTTTCATGATGTAGTCCTCTTTCTCTGTGTAGCCAAAAAGCTGTAGTAGAGCAATGAAGGCTGTTGGGGTTGTGGAGGCTAGTTGTGAAGATATATTTGAGCTTGTTATGAGCATGGATGCAACACGTTTTGAGTAAGTTATCTGTACTGTCTAGTTAGTCATTATAGTTTTCGTATTTACTTTTCCTTCCAAATTTGTTCATTGATAGGTTTATTTCAGGAAATTATTTTTTAACTGTTTTGCCAAGAGCTCTCAATTGGCAGTAATTCCTGATGGCTAAATTTTCTCTGTTTTTATACCGAGTTCGCTTAACTTATGCCTTTTGGAATCCAAAAATTTCTGGTTCTAGGTGTGTAGCAAATCTAGGTGTGCTTTGGGCTTATGTTGGTTACTCTATGGCTTTACTAGTAATCTAGGTACTAACTCTTTTCATTCCATTAGGTGATTGTAGAAAAGGTATGGGGTAATAGGATTCTGTGAATTCATGATTACTCTCTCAAGTTATTGAGAATTAAGTAGTGTTTAGAAGAACTCTGGAAAAAATAACTACAACCCTATAATCCTCCTAATTACATATTTTCTTAATGAGGATTTTCCTAATTACATAATTTCGGGGATAAAAGATCCTTTCAACATTTAAGTGGAGAAGGGTAGAGGGATGGGCCCATTATCCGCCGAGTTTCGAATTTCAGTTATAAGAAGAAAAAAAAAAGATCCTTTCTATATTTACAATGAATAGAATTATGGATATTTTCATATTTACTGATTCTTAACATTCTTAATGCTCCCCTCAACATCAGCTTCCTGATTCTTAACATCAGTTTGTTGCAAGTGATGGTTTGGTATGTCCAGCTTCAACCTTGAGATGCACCAGTCTACATGGTGAGTGAAGATGTTAAAGAGACAAGGTAAACTAAAATCACATGGGAGGAAGTTCTCTCGAAAGGACTACAATATCTTGGAATCCATGTAGACTTACGGAAAATAGAGCTCAAATCGAAGAAAAAAATCTATATAGGCAATACTAATTAGTTAAGAATACGTTTACTTTTGGTCCTATGCTTTTTATGAGTCTTTTAGTCCTGTTGTATAGATTACATAAAAGTAAAAAGTATTTCTAGTTTTTTTTTATTATAATATTTGCCTGGGATGAGCTTTGTAATGGAGTGACATGGTCAGTGAGGATTCGTACACCCTATCCCAACTTTTTTGGGTTTGGGGCGTAGTAACATTTAGCTTTATGTGAAGAAAACCAGGAGTCTGTAAATCATTTGTTTCTTCGTTGCCGGCAGACTAGACAGATCTGAGATATATTCCTTAATATCTATGGTGTGAAATGGGAAATGCCAAACATTGTTAGAAGTCTGCTGGAAAGTTGGCAGGGTCAATCGGTAGGCAAAAGAAAGAAAAAGATATGGATGACCATTCCCTTATGCATTATGTGGACCATCTGGTTGGAAAGGAACAAAAGATGCTTTGAAGATCAGAGGACCCAGATTTCTACGCTAAAACATAGTTGCTTGCAGAATCTATATTTTTGGTGTAAGGAAAGGGTAGTAGAAGACTTGGTGCAGTTATTAGATTTTATGGAATTGTAGAAGCTTTATTTGTAATTGCTATCCTATGACGTTTTGCTTGTACTTTGAAAGTACCCCCTTGGTTCTCTTTTGAAGTTTCTTAATAAGAGTTACCTTACCTGATAAAAAAAAAACATTTATCTTCCCATTTACCTATGTAGTATTTGGGTACACACTACCCTCCTCAGACCCCACGGTGTGGGATATTACTGGGTATGTTGTTGTTGTTGTTGTTGTATTTGGCTACGATGTAGTTCACCTCTAGTGGCTAAGGAAGAATCACAGGACTAACTGAGAAATTATGTTCTCTTTTCAAACTATTTTAAGCTTCCATTAACCACAACTTATGGAAACTAGACTGTCAACTGCTTTCATATCTACTTGAATAGGCTTGTGCGGAGATTTGCTTGGTTAGTATTTTTTTAAAGGTCTATTTCCTTTTTCAAGTACTAGACCAAAAAATAGTTGGAGTTTTAAACAACTGACTTTTTGGTGAAAGTTGTACGCCCTTTTTGAGAAAATGATGACCTAATGTGTCAAGTAGATTATATTGTTGATACATGATCTTTGTGTTGAGTTGGTTCCTAAGTATTTCTTTGGGTAACTCCTGATATTTTTCTGAATTGATGCATAAGATGAATGTTTTTTTTTTGAAGCACAAAGATCATGGGTCCATTATCTAAGGTAATTATCTCGGGTCTATTATCTAAGGTAACGGGGGGATTGACGAGGATGTCACACATCGTATTGGAGGGGGATGAATAAAATGGAGGCTCACATCCGATGTTCTATGTGATAAGAATGTGCCGTCAAGACTTAAAGGTAAATTTTACAGAGTGGTGGTTCGACCAACTATGCTATATGGGGCTGAGTGTTGGTCAGTCAAGAACTCCCATGTGCAGAACATGAAAGTAGCAGAAATAAGGATGTTGAGATGGATGAGTGGGCATACCGGGAGAGATAAGATTAGGAATGAAGTTATTCGGGATAAATTAGGAGTGGCCTCCGTGGAGGGCAAGATGCGAGAGTCGAGGATGAGATGGTTAGGACACGTTAAGAGGAGAAGCACTGATGCTCCTGTTAGGAGGTGTGAAAGGTTGGCCATGGCTGGTTTGAGAAGAGGTCGAGGTAGGCCAAAGAAGTACTGAGGAGAGGTTAGGCAGAACATGGCCCTGCTTCAGTTTACTGAGGATATAACCCTTGATAGAAGGGTGTAGAGGTCGAGGATTAGGGTAGAAGGTTAGTAGGTAGTTAAAAGTTTCTCCTTTTCTTAGCAGTAGTATTAGTAGCATTCATGTACCTTCATGTTCTTAGATCTATATTACGTTATGTTGTGTAGTTCGCTTCAGTGATCGTCGTATTTCCCTGTTGTTACTATTTGGTATTACTTATTCTTTTATCCCTCTTTTTCTTCTCTCTTCCTTTTCATTATTTTCCTTCTTCTTTTTCTTCTTCTTCCCACCTTCTTTTCTTTATTTTTCTTCTTCTTTTTCTTCTTCTTCCCACCTTCTCTGAGCCGAGGGTCTATTAGAAATAGCCTCTCTAACTTCACTAGGTAGGAGTAAGGTCTGCGTACACATTATCCTCCCCAAACTCCACTTGAACCCCACCTGTGGGAATATCCTGGGTTTTTTTTTTTTTTTGTTTGTTGTTGTTGTTGCTTTGTGGAATAGGTCCAAGCTTCTTTTATCCTAAAATGCATTTGTGTAGAAGGATGCGGGATTCATGCATCTAATTAGGAGACTATTTCAGGCTGCATGATGTTGAAGTGTGGGCTACATCATGTGATTGTGTTATTTTGTGCTACTTAAAATAGAGCTTGATGCAATACAGAAATTGAAGTTGGGTGGACAGTAAAAAAATAAAGCAAATTTTGGATTTTGTAATCATCCAAAATGAGATAAAAGCAATGGATTTTTGGCTTTAATAAACGGCATGGTGTATGTGCAATATTAATGGTCAATGTAATTTTATTCTCTTTTTTTTGAGTTTTTCTCTTTTAACTTTTTATAAGTGACAAGATGTTTTTGTGGAGGGAGGGTGTACAGAAGATGATAATATGTTCTTAGCACTAAGAATAAGGTACAAACAAACAAAGCTCTGCTATCTCTTGACGATCGGTTATGTCACACACTTTTTCAGATGCTTATCACGAAATATGAAGCATTCCTTTTAATTATTCTCTCACTTTGTTGAACGAAGTCTCTAGACAAGGTGATTATATGCAGCCATTAAAAAAGGGTTACATCTATGTTAACCTAATGGTAAAAGACATTATCATTATATTCTTTGGGTGTTCAGGATCTAACTACTGGCTAAACAGGTGGGACTGCAGCTTCCAGTATGGTAGTTTAGTTGAGGAGGTAGATGGACACACAGCAATACTCTATCACAGGCTTCAACTCGACTGGTTCCCTGCGTAAGATTACATACTTCTTTATTGTAATGGTTGCTTATCTATTTTGTATTTCTCATTTGACTAGTGTTTTAGTTTGGTTAAATTAGCTCCAGCAGCAACACCTGTTGAATGAATGCCTAGAATGTGAATGTGCTCCTAACCTGGCTGCTTTTGATAAGTGTGCATATGCTATTGTGAATGCTTCAGAAGATATAGAACAGACGTTATGAACTTGGGCGTTGGAAAGGGTGTGCTCCAAGGAGAAGTTCCTTTTCCTCTGCTGGAAATTGTTGAAATCACAAATATGTCTGCTTATGCTTGCATCTTCTGTTTACGACTTATTTATATTATGGTTATGTTGCTTGTGTTTGGATTGCATTGTCCTTATTTGGGTTTCCCCATGACCTTGTCCACTTCTTTATTCTATAAATATTATTCTTAACTTCCTGTATTTCTGGATGATAGATCTTGTAAGAATATTGAGTGTTATAACTTAGTATAACAACAATGTGTCCTAACGGTATGTGTACATGGTTTAAATCTAGGCTTAATACCCAATTTGATACCTATACTTGCACAATTTTCAAATAGACATCTCAACTTGGTTAGAACACACGTTTTAAACACCTCCGGCCCTTAGTGTTCCTCACTTGCCTTGATGGAGAACATATCAGATCCACGTCAGGTGAATTCATGCCACTTTATCACTATCTTGTAGGACAAAGAAAAACTTTTTGTCTTTTCTTCTCCATTTTTCTTCCTCCAATGTTGAAGTTTAAGCTTTTTAATTTGTCTTCACCATTATTGATGTCTAAATCTCTCTTTCCTCTCTAAAATGTTTAGTAAATCCTGAATTTGACCCCATAGGCAAGTTTACGCAAGATTACATAGAAGCTGCAAATTCCTTTCCCTTTACTCGCTTTTCTTTTTTCCTTCAGATCTCTCCCAAGGTTTTTCAATCAGTGGAGATATCCCCAGACTTAAGTAACCTCCTGTTAATGCATAACATTTAGTTTCAAAATATCTGATACAGAATCTTATCTCCAACCTAAAATTAATTACTACTGGTGTGCTTTATTAGGTAATTTAAGGCTGTACCAGACATTTTCTTCTTCTTAAATAGGCTTCACAGTTAACACCCAGATCAGTATCACTACTGGGTTAGATTGAGAAGCCTTTAGGCTTTGAAGAAGAGAAAACCAACAATGGGGACCCAAAAAAGAAGTTTTGCATGTGGGCTGAAGCTTCTAAAAGGGGAAAAGGGCGAGAGATACGAAACAGGGAAATTGAGGTTGACAATGAAGGGTTGCTTCTATATCAGATGTATAAGCTCTCGTTTGTTCCTCTGTCTCTAATGGTTAAATTAGAAATCCAGCAAGGTTAGAGCTTAAAAATGGAGTTTCACCCGCAGGTTTGACTCAGATGTTCAAAAATGGAGGAATGGTGGAGGATTTCTTGCTGTTGGTAGCTATATTTTTCAGCTTCGCTCCTAAAGTCATGTATACCATGCACTTTGTCCAATTCATCCATATCAATGCCACATAAGCTCGGTCAATTGTCAGAGGCATTTAAAACAATAGGTTTGTACGGGTTTATGTGTCTGGTTGAACCCATGGAGATGAAGGGCTGAGAATAGAAATCTTTACAAGTACGAATGTCAATTTGGGTATTAAGCGTTAATTCTATTAAGCCACTGTAACTCCATTTCATGGGCTCTTATCTTTAAAATAATTTCTCTCTATTAAGTTGTGATTCTTCGAGTTAACAAAGAACCAACCGACCAGGATCAAGATCTTGAAACGAAAACGTGGTTTGTGGGTCGATTTCAAGAAACAATGTATCTCAAGTTTTAGGACTCGGAATCTAATGATTCAAAAACGAGGTGAAAGATAACGATCTGAACTATAAGAAAGACTATTTACTCATTCAAAACAAGTAAATATTGATGCTGCACCAGTTCAATAAAAGTTATGATTCTATGATATCAAAAGAACGAATTTAGATCAAGAAACGTGTTCTTGAAAGATCAAGAACTAAACAAGTTCCTAAAGTCGCCACTTGGAAGCAATTAACGTGATAAAGAAACACCACACGCAACCGAAAACAAGATAAAGACTTCACCACCTTGCTTGGAACCAAAAACAAGGATAAAGAAGACAAAATAGAGAAGAACACTCTACTGTAAAACTAGGGCAAGCCTTAACAACGTGAATTCTTTTCTTCTACAAGGAAAGAGAACTCTTTTTTGATGTCTACAATTCCTATTCTATAAGAAAATAAAATAACTAAAGACAAGAAAAGTAAAATCCCTATTCTACAAAGAAAAGAAACTAGAATCCTACTAAAAGGAAAATCCTTATTCTAAAAGGAATAAAATAAATCATATTTTAAGAATGAAAGAATCTTGACTTCTTGAATTCAATCTTGAGCTTCTTGGACTTCTTGCGCTTCTTGAAAATAAGTCCATATTTTTGGACTTGAGCTCTAAAACATGATCTTTGCCACAATTAATAAAATTTAACATAGATTCTATGTTTACATCATTCTCCCCTGGTTGAGAAGACTCGTCCTCGAGTCTAAAGGCTCCACAAATGGCACAAGATTGACAACTTCCATGATTTTGTTGAACTCATATTCACCAGGCTCTAAGTTGTATTTGTCTAACTTGTCAAAGAGTTTCATCGTATTGTAACAAAGTTTAGCATGTGGCCGAACTAAATCACACTTTCTCAATAGTATCTTTGTACCAATATTTCTACAATGAATCCTCTTAAATCTATTTTTAACTTCCCATAACCATAAGTTATTTTCTTTTGATCTTCAAGAATCCTGAACTTCTCCATGTCAATGTGGTACTTATGGGATATGCCCAAAAAAGTTGATTTAGTGCCACAAAAACCTTTAAAAGAATCAAATTCAAGTACCTTTGGATCAAGCTTGGAGATTGAAGTATATCTTCTTGAGAATTCATCAGCAACAACAACTCTCATATTTAACTATATCAAAGTCATAACCATTGATGGAATTTGTGTTAAGATTTCCTGTTCCTACATATGCTTGAAAATATTCATTCTTTGGAGGTAAGAAAAAAGCTGGAATAAAATATGAACTCAAACCCTCCATTATGAACTCCTCTTTAAGCAACCCTTTCTCTCGTATTTGCAAAATTTCATGGACTTCTGGATTAATGCAATATGTTACCTCGTTTGGAAAGATAAAATCAACAATCAAATCAATATTATGTTGAGCATCTCTATTAGGTGAAAAGTTAAGCACACATATGGGATGCTCCAACGGATCATCATGAAACTTCAAAGGTAAATCCTCAACTTGTGGATCTAGTGCATGCTCCTCCTCCTTGTGCTCTTCCATAGTAATACCAACATTCAAAGACTTTTCTCTATTGATTGGACCAATTGTTTGTAATTTGGTGACAAAAGAGTCATTCTTGGGCTTCAGATTTTTAGCAATTTCTTCGGGATTCAATGGTACTAAAATAACCTTACGTTCATCCTTTATAAAAGAATAGGTGTTAAGGTCTTCATCATATTTAGCACACATTTCATACACGCATCGATGCTTGTAATAAGTGACAAGCATCCATCTTCACTACGTCACACCAAATATGGTCTTTATAGATCTTACCAATAGAAAAAGATATTAGGCATTGACAAGTTACCTCTAAACCATCATCATCTTCAACTTCGATGCTGTAAGGATATGGATGAAGTTTGGTTGACAAACCAAGTTTAGTAGCCATCTCTTCAGAAATGATATTTATGTGACTCCCATGATCAATGATCAACGAACAGACTTTTCCATAGGAGATACATCTGGTGTGGAAAAGAGATTCTTGTTGCCACTGTTCTTTATCTTCTTGAACCAAGAATGTTCCTCTTGGTTGAATCTTGGCCATGATAAATTCGCAACCTGCGACCTGTGAATTATAGCTCTGATACCAAATTGATGTGATTCTTCGAGTTAACAAAGAACCAACCGACCAGGATCAAGATCTTGAAACGAAAACGTGGTTTGTGGGTCGATTTCAAGAAACAATGTATCTCAAGTTTTAGGACTCGGAATCTAATGATTCAAAAACGAGGTGAAAGATGACGATCTGAACTATAAGAAAGACTATTTACTCATTCAAAACAAGTAAATATTGATGATGCACCAGTTCAATAAAAGTAATGATTCTCTGATATCAAAATAACAAATTTTGATCAAGAAACATGTTCTTGAAAGATCAAGAACTAAACAAGTTCCTAAAGTCACCACTTGGAATCAATTAACGTGAATAAGAAACACCACACGCAACTGAAAACAAGATAAAGACTATCAGCACCTTGCTTGGAACCAAAAACAAAGATAAAGAAGACAAAATAGAGAAAAACACTATTGTAAAACTAGGTCAAGCGTCAAAAAATGTGAATTATTTTCTTCTACAAGGCAAGAGAACCCTTTATATAGGCTTAGGTCTCTTCTTTGATGTCTACAATTCCTATTCTAATAAGAAAATAAAATAACTAAAGACAAGAAAAGTAAAATCCCTATTCTACAAAGAAAAGAAACTAGAATCCTACTAAAAGGAAAATCCTTATTCTAAAAGGAATAAAATAAATCCTATCTTAAGAAGGAAGGAATCTTGACTTCTTGAAATCAATCTTGAGCTTCTTGGACTTCTCGCACTTCTTGAAAATAAGTCCATATGTTTGGACTTGAGCTCTAAAACATGATCTTTGCCACAATTAATAAAATTTAACATAGATTCTTCGTTTACATCATCTCTCTTCTTGAACTCTTCGTCTAGTCAAGTACAACAAAGCAAATTGTTATGGAGCTACTTTTGGGATGCTTTATGAACTGGTATACAATTTACTGGGAAAGGGTATTCTCATATATCATTTAATTCAACTCCAAGTGAGAATATCTCATTATTCATAATTTACTGGTTTTAAATCATTGTCAGAGTTCATGCATCTCCTAGTCTGTTGTTTTTCCCCTGACAAAATAAATTATGATTTTCTGTTGTGCTCCCCCCCCCCCCCCCCCCCAAGACACACAAGAAAAAAGTAAGAAGATAAAAAAGGAAATTTCATTGCGAAATTCCAGTCCAATCAATCAAGGAGGCTTCCATGAACTAGTTGCACTTGCCTATATGAATCCCTGTAACCTTCTGCTTATGCTGGCCCAAATTTTTTCGACTATTGTTAATATGTTAGATTGAATTTAACTGTGTATGCAGGTTAGTATGGCCTCGTGATCTTTGTTATGTACGTTATTGGCGTCGAAATGATGATGGAAGTTATGGTAAGTATTACCCAAAACCTCTTATTATTGATGGTTTATCTGTTCTTCCAGTTTATTTATGACTCTACTTGATTTGTCATCATTATTGCAGTTGTGTTATTTCGTTCCAGGGAGCATGAGAATTGTGGTCCACTACCTGGATATGTTCGAGCTCATATTGAGAGTAACCTCTATTTCCTTCCGGCTTCCACTCATTTAGTTCGCTGCACTGAATGCATATTAAAACCTTTTATTAATGATTCCATATATATCTTTCGCGGAAGTATTCTGAAGGTCGTATCTTATATGCTAACCAATTATCACCACTCGCAGGTGGTGGATTCAATATTTCCCCACTGAAACCTCTTAACGGGAGGCCCCGAACACAAGTGCAGCATCTTATGCAGATCGATTTAAAAGGGTGGGGTGTTGGCTATATCTCGTCATTTCAGCAACATTGTCTGTTGCAAATGTTAAACAGTGTGGCGGGTTAGCTTTTCTTATGCTCTACTGAAGTTAACATTCTTGAGAAACTTCAAGTTTGTTATGGCATACATTTTCATTTGCATTAAATTTGCTAGTGCGTCCTTTGTCAAAAAAAAAAAAAAATTGCTAGTGCGTCATCTGTTTATGATTTATAGTGTTTAGCGGCGGAGAGTCGCTACTGCTTGTAAGTGACTTCAGGAAGCTTCAGCCTTCCTCTTCCCCCTCTTTGCTTCTTGTTGCAGGTGAGGTAGTGGTTGTATTAATAGCTATTTGGTCAACAGAAAAGCAAGAAGGAAAAAAGTGACTAAGTTAATGATTCTTTTCCCCTTTGTTCTTTTTCTTTTCTGTTGGTGAAACAGCGACTATGGCTGAAGTGAATATGGATGGTCCGCTCGAAGTAACAAACTATGTGGGTTGTGTGCATGGAAAGGGATAATGAAGGGATTTGGGAGACTAGGCTAAATTAATAGATTTCCTAGTTGGGAATGGAAACCAGATACATTTTTGTCTCGATATTTGGTGTGGGGATTAACATTAAAAGTTTCCCACTGTTGTACTCCATAGCAAGTCAAGAAAAAGCGAGATTGGCATATTTGATAAGAAGGAATACAGGTGGAATATTTAGGGATATTGTCTTGAGGATTAGGAATAGATGATACGGAAAAGATCTGCATCGTAATATAGAGATGCAATCTTGGGGAGGGGAAGGATCCAGGGTCAAAGGGGAAAGGACACAGATCACCTACACTTGATTGCAAACTCCCTACGGGCTTGTGAAGTTTCATTTGTTTGTTATTCAGCATTGAGTGGGTATATTTAAGACAGAGAGAGGAGAAGTAGTATTTAAAAGAGAAAGAAAGGCACGTGGAAGATTGCGCTTTATTGTTTTGGATGATTAGGAGGGAGATGAACAAAGGATTAAAGGAATTAAATAGTATTTATGGAGGATCAGGAGTCCTTTGATGTTTTGTTTATACTGTGTAAAGAGATGTTCCTTTTGTGTAGATAGTTCGATAAACTTAGAAGCGTAATGTTGTAGACGAAGTAGTAAATTTTGACACCATATTGGTGCAATTTAATCTTCCATAAATTCTTGAATGAATAGGGAGATAGGAGCATTGTGCTGGGGGAGTTGGAGTACTCGGAGCGGCAACGAGATTTTGGGTACTGTAGACGCATACAAGTGGGGGAGGTTGTAGGGGCTATACGCAGGAGGAGTAGGGGTAGAGCGACTGGGCCGGACGAGATCCCGGTGGAATTCTGGAAGAGCGTGGGTAAGGAGGGCTTGGAATGGCTTGCTAGATTGTTTAACGTCATTTTTAGGACGAAGAAGATGCCCGAAGAGTGGAGGCGGAGTACGATGATCCCGTTGTACAAGAACAAGGGGGATGTCCAAAACTGCAACCACTATAGGGGTATCAAGTTGTTAAGCCACACGATGAAAGTGTGGGAGAGGGTGATTGAAGGGAGGTTGAGAAGGTGTGTGTCCATTTCCGAGAACCAATTTGGTTTCATGCCGGGACGGTCGACTACTGAGGCCATTCACATTGTGAGGAGATTGGTGGAGCAGTATAGGGCGGTGAAGAAGGATTTGCATATGGTGTTCATTGACCTGGAGAAAGCCTATGACAAAGTCTCGAGAGAGGTTCTATGGAGATGTTTGGAGGCTAGAGGAGTGCATGTAGCGTATATTAGAGTGATTCAGGACATGTATGATGGAGCTAAGACACGGGTTAGGACAGCAGGAGGAGACTTTGACTACTTTCCAGTTGAGATGGGGTTGCATCAGGGATCAGCACTTAGCCTGTTTTTGTTTTCCCTGGCGATGGATTCTTTGACGCGACACATTCAAGGGGAGGTGCCTTGGTGCTTGTTATTTGTGGATGACATAGTCCTGATTGATGAGACGTGAGGTGGCGTTAATGAGAGGCTGGAGGTCCGGAGATATACTCTGGAGTCTAAGGGTTTCAAGTTGAGCAGGACCAAGACAGAATACATGGAGTGCAAGTTCAACGGTGTTATCCAGGAGGCGGATGGGGATGTGAGGCTCGATACGCAAGTCATTCCCAGGAGAGAGAATTTCAAGTATCTGGGGTCTATAATTCAGAAGGATGGGGAGATAGATGAGGATGTCACACACCGTATCGGAGCAGGGTGGATGAAGTGGAGGCTCGCTTCCGGTGTCTTGTGTGATAAGAATGTGCCATTGAGACTTAGGGGTAAGTAGTGGTTAGACCGACTATGTTGTATGGGGCAGAGTGTTGGCCAGTCAAAAACTCCCATGTCCAGCAGATGAAAGTAGTAGAAATGAGGATGTTGAGATGGATATGTGGGCATACTAGGTTGGATAGAATTAGGAATGAAGTTATTCGGGACAAGGTAGGAGTGGCCCCTGTGGAGGCAAAGATGAGGCGAGGTTGAGATGGTTCGGGCATGTTAAGAGGAGAAACACAGATGCGCTAGTCAGGAGATGTGAGAGGTTGGCCTTGGGAGGTGAGAGGAGGGGTAGAGGTAGGCCAAAGAAGTCTCGGGGAGAGGTGATCAGGCGGGACATGGCGCAACTTGAGCTAACCGAGGACATGACCCTAGATAGAAGGGTGTGGAGGTTGAAGATTAGGGTAGAAGGTTAGTAGTTAGTCGTGCGTTTCCCTTTGTCTTCTCTAGTTCGATAGTATTAGTGGTAGTAGGGTACCCTGTTTTTCTTAGTTTGCTATATTCGCATGTCTTGTTCCGTTATTACTTGCCATCGGTAATTCCGTAGTTTGCTAGCAGTACTTCGTTCATATTATCGTTTGCTGCCTTGGATTTAGTTTTCTAAATATATTATCTTGCTATTACTTGTTATCGGTACCTCTTTCATATTCTCTGTTGCTATCTTCGATTTAGTTTTCTAATTATGTCTTGCTATTACTTGCTATCAGGGCTTCTTTGACCTTCTCTAGCCGAGGGTCTATCGGAAACAGTCTCTCTGCCCTTCCAGGGTAGGGGTAAGGCTGCGTACATCCTACCCTCCCCAGACCCTACTTGTGGGATTATATTGGGTGGTTGTTGTTGTTGTTGTATATTGGTGCAATTTAATGAATTGATTTGACTTTTAAAAAAAATGAAAAAGAAACTAAGTTAACTGTGTACTTTCTTGACTGATCTTTTGATGATAGCTTAATGTGAACTTATGTTTAAACTTTCCTCCTCCAGGACTTCGTGAATACTTTTCTCAAGCTGATGAAAGGACTGCTGCTCCAAGAATCCCAGTTATGGTTAATATGACATCAGCTTCAGTTTCTTCCAAGAGGAGTCAAAAGTTCCAGGAGACTCTTCATCATCGTACTCGTTCTTTGGACCAAATACGTGCTGCAAATAGAAGTGCTTCAATGATGGATGAGTATTCTGATGAGGAAGAAGATTTTCAAGGGGCTGATCAAGAGGTTTGAACTTTATACATATGCATAGTACTTTAGGCATCTCCTTCTGAGCATGTAGCTTGGACTTTTTGCAGGTAATGCCACCCAGTCCTGAACATGAAATGAAGAGAACTGGTAGGTGCTGCCCAATATGTATCGTGTTTGTAGTATTCACTAATTATTTATAATTTGTCTGCACAAATATTCTTTAGTGACAATAATTTTCTACTTTTGAAGCCCTCGAAGAAGAACCTTTGGATCAAATTGATTTTTCCATCTTTTCGGGTAACCTTCGACGTGATGACAGTGATAATGGTCGTAACTGCTGGAGAATATCTGATGGAAATAACTTCAGAGTTCGTAGCAAGAACTTTTGCTATGACAAATCAAAGGTCCTTTAACTGTTTCTCATTTCCTTGATAAGCGCCTGGTTTTTAGATTATTTATGTCACCATGCTCTAAGATCACTTTGAAAATGCATGCAGATTGCTGCTGGTAAACCTCTGATGGATCTTGTTGCTGTTGACTGGTTTAAAGATACTAAACGGATGGACCATGTTGCTAAGCGTCCTGGTTGTGCAGCACAAGTAAGAAATACATTAGTTTAGTTTCAAGGGGAGGTCTACCCATTTAGGGTATTATGGGTTGCTAACTGAATGAGTAACCAGAAATAGAAAACATCAAATTGCAGTCAAGATGTTTTCCTCATTTTCTTTTGGTTCCAATAGAAAATGTTGGAGGAAGAAGTGAGCATCACGACGCACATGCACGCGCACGCACACACCATTCATCAAAATTTCAAGAACATGGCTTAGTCTATGAAGGCTATTATGAGAAATAAAAGATGCATTGAAAAAATTGAGAGAATGCTATTAGGA